ACCCAGTGCTTTATGAGATATTTTGCTAACAGACAAGCAGGGTTGACGCCAATAATTAAAGTAATGCGAGTATGAGTTAGGAATGACTCTTAGCTACTACCACACGTTTTTATTTTACTCTTTAAAAAAAAAAAAAACATGATCGCTCGCCTTCATCGCCAGATTTTTTTTTTGCGTGATGACGTCTCTGTCCAGGGCGCGCGCTCGACATCAAAGACTCACCTTTGAGGAAGACCACGGTGGGCACCACGATCAGAACCACGACCACTGCCAAGCCGAAGAGCCCCAGGAGAACCTTGGCGAAGGAGACCTGTTCGGGAGGGAACGGGGCGAGAGTTAGAAAGAGGAGAAGTCCCGCGGAACGCCGACAAACGTGAGTATCAGAACCCGCCACCGACCATTGCTCGTGCGGGAAAGGGATCAATCAGCGCCCGCCTAAATCACAGCTTCATCGACCCACGCGCGGACAACAGACACACCAAGCACGTGCTTTGAAGTTAAATATTATCCTGGCTGAAGTTTCAAAGGTGGGACAGTAAATGAGCTGCGCAGTGAAGTTCTCCAGAGGAAGAGTCTTCCCCCAAACTGTTCAAAACACAGCTGACCAATCAGTCTCTTAGGAAAACACAAGACTTTTTTTGTGTGAACAACTCCAGTCTGAGAGCAACTTAATTTTTTAAAGTGTTTACAATCTTGTCTGCCCGAGAGTTTGACTTTTTGTTGGAGAAAATCGCAGTTTTGTGTCAAGAACTAGGTGTTGTGCCCAAAAAAGTGCCCCCCACTGTCAATGGAAGGCACAGTTCAAGCTATGGAAGCCAAGAAAGGACATGCCTAAACTGTTAGTTTTTATTGTTATTTTGAGATGTATTTTTTTATTTTTGTGGGGGAAAAAAAATGTTTTCTTTAAATAAATCATTATAAAATAGTTCATTTAGTTAACTTGAGAAAACCCCATCAAAATTAACAATACAATTAAAATAAATGGGAAAAAAAAAATGAAAATTTTATATAAGAAATGACAGGGTTACAACAAATTTGGTTAAAACTAAAAAAAAAAAAGATTCATTACAGTAGTCACTCGATACTTTGCAGTTCGACTTTCGCGGACTCACTATTTGCGGTTTTTCAACGTAAGATTGTACACGACCGTCAACTTTAATATTACTCACGTGATTGGGACGGTACGGGATAAAAAGTCAACAGGAGCGGATGGGAGCAGGAACCAACCAATAGGACTAAAACAAACAAACAAACAAATGTGCACAGGCGCCGCCATTTTGTAGTTTTTTTTCAATAAGCCTACACTGAAACACAAGTCAAAAGAACTACACGGCCCAGAATCCAACAGTGCTTCCAGCCGCTGCTGTCTACTGAAATGGAGGGAAAGTTTTTTTTAACGCAAAGTCAGAATTAACGATCTATCTACTGTATTAAGTTCACAGAACTGGCAGGGAAGTTGCAAATAATCCTGAAGCTGAACTCGTCCTTCAAGATGTAGTATCTTCACTGGTGAGTACCCATATACAATTTTGCTGTACAGTACATATACGTATGTTTTTGTTAAAATTACGCAGGTTTAAGAGTTTAGAACATTATGAGTGTGGGAAGTGTTTATAAAGCCTTAAAATATATATGAATACTAAAATAAATATACAGAATCTGAATGAGCTTTATTGTCATGGCACAGTTACGTACAGCAAAATTACGTTCCGTTCAGCCGTCCTGACGATGGACGAAGGTGTACAGGGGCTGCAGATTCTAAGAAGCGCTACCCTTAGATAGAAAAGGGGGAGACAAATAAGGAGATAGTGGTATAATAAAAAAAAAAAGATCTCTCACACCGTGTCCTTGACAGGTATCAAAAACATCTACCACAGCAAGCGACGTAGATAGACACAATACACATGTATGGACGACAAGACGGTGAGATTTGTCCATGAACATTTAATACAGTTAATAAGTTTAAGTCAACTTTATTGGCATTTCCACCACATGTGGTACATGAGGTGAAACAAAATTATGTACTCAGGGTCCCAGTTACATCCAAAAATAGCAAAATATAAAGTATAAAAAAGAAACCCTAAATAAGGATCTAAGATATACTCTAAGACGGGGACAACATAAGCAAATTTAAAAGGTAAACAGATCATTGTGAAACTTGGTTTATTTACATAATGACATTAATCGCTGGATGTCCGGCCCCCAAGCTGTTGGCTTTCAGAAACGGTGGCTCCCTGAGTAGTTTTCTAAGATATACTCTAAGATATACTCTAAGATATACGTTAAATGAACGCCAAACGCTAAAAGATCTAAGATATACGTTAAACACTAATAATGTAAAACAATACGGCGTAACAACAGCAGCCCGAAGATGAGTCTATGGTAAGCAGATTGGTATGAATGAATACAACAGCATGAGATCAGCAGCATGATTAATCGGCAGCATGAGATCAGCAGCATGGATAATCAGCAGCACATATCACCAAATAAAGTGACATTACAGTGATTTTTGTTAATATACAGTGATTATCCTGGTTAGAGATTCATGAGTCTAACAGCTTCAGGGTAGAAGCTGTTCCTCAGTCTAGTGGTTCTACACTTAATGCTTCTCAACCTCCTTCCTGAGGGGAGCGGGGCAAAAAGTGTGTGTGCTGGGTGAGTGGGGTCCTTCATGATGCAGGTGGCTCTCTTTCTGCATCTGGAGGTGTTAACGTCTGTGATGGTGGGGAGACTGACTCCAACAGACTTCTGTGCAGCCTTCACCACTCTCTGCAGAGCTTTTCTTTCTGCAGCTGTGCAGCCTCCATGCCACACGTTGATGCTGGAGCACAGGATGTTCTCCACTGCACACCTGTAGAAGGAGCTGAGGACTGAGCTTCCCAGACCAGCTCGTCTCAGCCGCCTGAGGAAGTAGAGAGTCTCTGATGAACTTTCTTGATCAGACAGGTGGCGTTGTTGCTCCAGCTGAGGTTGTAGTTCAGGTGCACACCCAAGTACTTGTAGCTGGAGACCACTTCCACCGCAGATCCTCTTATGTTCGGTGTGGGCGTGGGTGAATAGGTGTGTTTGCTCTGTCTGAAGTCCACGACCGTCTCCTTCGTCTTCTTCACATTGATCTTCCTGCACCAGCTCTCCCAGCCAACCACCACTGTATCGTCTGCAGACTTTACAATATGACAGCCTGGATGGGTAGGAGCATAACGTCCCTACTTCGTGGATTGTCACGTCGTGGGGGTCTGGAGCGTAACCCCTGCGATAAGTGAGGGACTACTGCATTGCGATATTGTCAGGCTCAGAGTATGTGTTGTGATTGACTCTTGGCTCTAATCGTATCAAATTTTAGCCTGATATCTGTAAGGTTGAATTATAATCTATTTTTGTTTGATGAAGTTGATTAGCTGCGGTGGCCATATTGGAATAGATTGAAATAATTAGTTTGAGAAGTACAGACAGCGATTACTTTCTGAAAGATTTCTTAAAACCTGTCCAGTACATCATAACATATTTTTTAACAAAGTTTCATCTAAAAGCCAGTTTCAATTTTTTTAAAGCTAATTTCTTATAGAATGCTCAGAGTATGTGTTGGGGCTTTCTTTTGCTACTACTACAACAATTTTTAGCCAAAAAGCTGTAAGATTTGCTAAGTTATAGTATTTTTTGTGTTTTTCCGTGTTGGATTAATTGCGGCAGCCATCTTGAATTGGGTTAAATCGGCCCATTGTTTTACTGGTACAGGCAAAAGAGTACTCCAGTTCTGGCTTCCATTCACTGGCTCCCGGTTCACTTTCATTTTAAAATACTACTGTATTTTTTTAAATCTCTGAACAGTTCTGCCTCCTATCTCACTGATCTGCTGCAGCCATATGTCCCACAGCGCTCTCTGAGGTCAACAGACCAGATGCTTTTATTGGTTCCAGGCACTTGTTTTAAGCTCAGAGGTGACAGAACCTTCTCTGTTGCAGGTCCAGAACTGTGAAATGAGTTACCACTGCGTGTCAGACGGGCTCCCTCTCTCCTTGTTTTAAAGTCTCGTTTAAAAACTCACTTTTATTCCCTGACTTTTGACACCGTGTGGGTTGATTCTAACTCGTCTGCATTCTATAATGTTAGTCATTTAGTTCTTATCTTTACCTCTGTGGATCTATGTATCTTATCCTATGTCCTTTGCTTGTTTGTTTTTGCTGTACAACACATTGTTGCTGTTTTTAAGTGCTTCATAAATAAAGTGATATGGTATGGGATGGTTGATTCATTCATTCAACCTTTATTTAAACAAGTTGGTCCCACTGAGCCACCGGGACTCATTTATAAGAAAGACCTGAATGGTATGGGTTAATTCCAAAAATGACTCCGTTGTAGACGTGCTTCCAGTGTTTACTTGGTGAAAGTGTCATCAAAATCCATCCACTGCTTCTCCAGATAGTTTGCTGACAAACAGATGAACACGCACACATAAATATACAAGCAAAAACATTATTGCCTGCTTTTCATCTTTCAATGGTGGGCAATAAAATTAAAAAGCTTGCCGTGGTGGCAAAACAAACTGGCGCAAAAAGCAGGAGGCAAGAACTGCTTGGTAACAGAAAGGATCGAGTCCCGAAGAAGCTACAAGCAACTAAAGCGCTAGTACTATTATCCAACAACTATACTTATACAGTGAATAAATGCTGGGATGGGTGATTCCTGAGTGGAAAGAGCTGGCCTGGTTGGCAGACGAGGAACAGGAGAGTCATGAACTGGACCCGGGAATCGTAAAGAGAAACACTGGTGGAAAACTGGGAAATTAAATAAGTCCAGACTGCAATGAAGCTCCGTCATATTAACGATAAACTTTACAAAAAATAAACGGGAAACAATCCAAACAACAACAAAAAATTATTAGTGTTTTTGTACAAATACTGTGGAGTGCTGAATGAAATAGCTGAAACCGGTCTTAACGAAGCTGAACGCTACCTAAAGTAGCTAAAGACTTGGCTAAAAGCTAAAGTAGCTGCTGAGGAATGCTTATGCAGACCCTTTCCAAAAAAATAGAACATCATGGAAAAGTTGTTTCACTTCCATAATTCTATTCAAAAAGTTAATATTTAATAGATGGTAGATTTAGGGCCCACGATTTAAACGATTTTAAGTATTTGTTTGTTTTTACATAATTTGGGCTTCCAGCTCATGAAACCCACGAAAATAGGATTTTGAAAAATTAGAATACTTTGAAGAAATCAGCCCGCACTACTTTTCAGTCTTTGCAGAAAAAAAAAAGAAAGAAATTAGGATCACAACAAATCAATCAAAATATAGTGCTTTCAAAACGATATGTCAATACTTGGTTGTGAATCCCTTTGCCTTAATCACTCCCTCGATGCGATGTGGCATTGAGGCAATCAGCCTGTGGCATTGACTGGGAGTTATGGAAGCCCAGATTTCCTTGATGCTTGCTGTCAGCTCTTCTTTGTTGTTGGCTCTGGTGCTCCTTATTTTCCTCTTGAGAATACCTCATAGATTCTCAATGGGGTTTAGGTCCGGCGAGTTGGCTGGCCAGTCAAGCACTGTGGCATGGCCATCAAACCAGGTTTTGGTGCTTCTGGCGGCATGGGCAGGGGCCAGGTCCTGCTGGAAGATAAAATCTACATCTCCATACAGATCCTCAGCAGAAGGAATCATGAAGCCCTCTGGGGCGGCTGTGGCTGAGTGGTTAGAGCAGTCGTCTTCCAATGCAAGAGTTGGGGGTTTGAATCCATCAGCAGTCACATGTCGAAGTTTCTCAGGGCAAGACACTGAACCCCTCGTAGCCTCTGATGTGAGTCCCATCGGTGTATGAATGTGATAAAGCTCTGATTAGTCTCTTTAGAATTATTTGTTTAATTAGCTTTGTAGAGCTCTAGTAGAGTGCTCTATGGGTAAATGAGGCACAGATTATAGTGTAAAGTGCTTTGAGTGTCTCGATAAGATAGAAAGGCACTATATAAGTACAGTCCATTTACCATTTACCATTTAAAACATTCTAGTAGACTGTTGCGGTGACTTTGAATTTAAGAAAGCAGCATTTACCAACACCTGCACCGGACATTGCACCCCAAATCATGACTGACTGTGGATATTTCACACTGGACCTCAAGCAGTATGGGTTCTGTTCCTCACCCTTCTTCCTCCAAACCCTTGGATCTTGATTTCCGAATGAATGGCACACTTTACTTTCATCGGAAAAGAGGACCGAGGAACCCAACAGTTGTAGTCCATCTCCCAGATGTGTCTGAATGTGGTGGTTTTTGAAGCTGTGACTTTTGCCTCATTCCACTCTTTCTGGATCTCTGCCAGATTCTGGAATCTTCTCTGTTTGATAATCCTCTGAAGCCCACGTTCATCTCTTGCTGGTGCATCTTCTACTGCCACATTTTGCCCTTCCACTAGACTTTCCATTGATGTGCTTGGACACAGCACTCTATGAACAGCCAGCCTCCTTAGGTATGAACTTTTGTGGCTTACCCATCCTATGGAGGGTATCAATGATGGTCTTTTGGCCAGTTATGTCTTGAAACGAACTGAGACAATTGAACCAAACTGAAGCAATTTAATGACACCTGGCTGTGCAGGTGCTTTGAGTTTAGTAGATGATTCGTGTCACACTCAGTTTAAAACATTCATGCTCTGCAACATTTGGGCTGATTTCTCCACAGTGTTCTAATTTTTTTAAAATTCCTGTTTTCGTGGGTTTCATGAGCTGGAAGCCCAAATTATGTAAAAATAAACAAATAAATACTTGGAATAGTTTAAATTTTGAGCCCTGAATCTATCATCTATTAAAGATGAACTTTTTGAATGGAATTATGGAAGTTAAACAACTTTTCCATGATATTCTAATTTTTTGGAAAGGGTCTGTATACACATTCACCATGCTCCTATCATTGTACTTTATAACCTTTTCTGCTCCTTCACTGTTATTGTGAATGATGTTACAACGTTTCCATGATCTTGTCTCTATATTATAATCAGTCTTGATGTGACTATCGGTAAGGAGACAGTAGCGAGGTAATCTTTTATTATGTTCGAGACCTTTGAATGATATGGTAGACAATGATTATTCCCTGTGGGAATCCCAGAGAAATGTTTACGTCCAGCAGCTCTTTGTGTGTCAGGAATTGCCCTAACAGTAAGGCAAGGTCTTTTGTAAATGAGTCCTCGAGGCTCAATGGGATTTACCTGTCTAAATAAAGGTTGAATGAAAAAAGGCAAAGGGGAGGGGAAGGCCCCTGATGAGTTTTATACAAACCTAACTTTTTCATTTCAGGAAGTCGGAACGAGTCAGAGACTCAGACGGGGTAAGAATAAGTTCTGTTATTTATAATATGTTGACATTCTGTGAGTTGCTGGCTGTTCGCCAAAGCTTTATAATAAAATTGATGACATACACACGATTGTCTACAAATCAGTTTTTTTCCTCGACAGTAAAATGAAGAAAACGCATATCAGCCACAACATTATGACTTCTGGCAAGTAAAGTATAAAACTTAATTTACATATATGAAACATTTTTACAAAGCAGTCACTAAAACGACACTCCTTCATTATTGCTGGCCCCTTCTGGAATACATCATCTGGTCCCGCAAAAGGGTAAAAAAAAAAAATCTGCCTTAAATGTTTACCCAGCCTCTGTCTATTTATCTGGTCACTCCACAACAAGAACGTGACTGATTAAACCTGCTGAGTGTCTGTGACATAGACAGCAGTTAATAAGTCACCAAACGACTGATTTAGAAAGATGCCTCGTTAGCTTTTGTCATAAATACACACATTCTGTGCTGACTGCTGACTCAGCAGTCATATAATTAACTGACTCAGAAAGCTTCAAGAATATTACTCTCATTTAATGAAAGCACTAAAAGAAAGTGTTTTGTTTGGCAAAAATCAAGTGCACATGAAACGCAAAATGACTTGGCTTGAAGCTGCTTATGAATATGCCTCAGCAGACGTATTTGAACTGCTGAAGTTTAGGCCCGTAATCATTTGAAGCTAATATGACTTCACATTTATTGTCCATATTAAACGTGGTTGAATAGGTGCTAAAAAGACCTAAAATGAACCGATTTGTTGTCAGGTCCAAGCTGAAGCACACACTTTTTTTTTTAATACGTATTTTATACATTTACGAAGGTGGGATTCAAACACAAGTTGTCTCAAGGTTATAAAGTGGGGGCTTTACTTGATGCCCCCACACTGACTTCTTGTTTGACTTGTATCCGTGTCAAACCACGCTGAAGTTTGAGGCTTTAAAACTGCAGGGTTGGACTGGATCAGGCTCATAAAGCTTAGACTCCTATATTTATAGAAAAGCTGGAAGGAACCAAATTCAATCCTATGATGACTGGAGTCCTCAGAAGTCTGCAGAGTTTCCATACCGAAGTATTGGAACAAATCAAAGCTGCTGAATATTTAAAAATTACGAGTGGTGCAAGAACCAAAAGACATAGTTGTCTTCTGGCTTCAAATTTCTCCACAGCACTGAAACTGCTCTATTGAAGGTTTTTAATGATATTTTCCAAGTCACGGATGCAGGTGATGCTTCTTGTCCTGTTGGACCTTACATCTACTTTTGACACCATCAACCATGAGATTCTTATTTCTAGACTGGAGCAGTGCATGTGCATCACAGGGTCAGCCCTCAAATGGTTTAGATCCTACGTCTCTTGACAAGAAACTTTTGTGTCAACATCAAGGATTTTATTTCAACGTTGGCATCTCTTCGGTGGGGGGTACCGCAGGGGTCCATTCTCGGTCCTCTTCTATTTTCGTTATACCTGCTGCCAGTAGGTGCTACTTTTCGAAAACACGGCATACCTTTTCATTTCTACGCCAATGACGGTCAAATTTAATTCGGTCTGAAGCACACTGGTGCACGTTCTATCCAAACTCTTCTTGACTGCCTGGCTGACATTAGGGACTGGATGGCTTTAAATTTCTTAAATATTAATGAGAAGAAGACAGAAGTCTTGTGTCCTCCTAATGGCACGATCAAGAACCACGGTATCGACCTTTCCTCTTTAGCCCCGTTAGAGAAACAAAGAGTCACTAATCTGGGAGTGAAAAAGGACCCTTCTATGAAACTTAAAACAGTCATGTAAACACAATTGTTAAATCCTGTTGTTGTTTTTTTTTTCAATTGAGGCAACTGTCTAAATGTAAGGCCCATACTGTCCAAAAGTAACGTTGAGACAGTAATACATGCTTTCCTAACAACCAGGTTCGATTACTGCAATGCGCTTCTATTTGAAATCAGTCGAACCTCTATTGCCCGTTGGTTCAAAATGCTGTAGCCCAATTTTTAACTGGTGTAGGCAAAAGAGAACACATTAAACCAGTTTTGGCCTCCCTTCACTGGCTCCCGGTTCACTTTCAAATTCATTTAAAATCTTTCTGTATGTTTTTAAATCTCTGAACAGTTCTGCCCCTTCCTATCTTGCTGATCTGCTGCAGCCATATGTACTACAACGCTCTCTGAGGTCAGCAGACCAGATGCTTTTATAGGTTCCAGGCACTTGTTTTAAGCTCAGAGGTGACAGGGCCGTCTCTGTTGCAGGTCCAAGACTGTGGAATGAGTTACCACTGCATGTCAGGCAGGCTCCCTCTCTCACTGTTTTAAGTCTCGTTTTAAAACACACTTTTGTTCCCTGGCTTTTGACACCATGTGAGTCGATTTTAACTTGTCTGTATTCTATAATGTTAGTAATTTAGTTTTTATCTTTACATATTTAGATCCATTTATTTAATGTGGTGTACTTTGCTTGTTTTGTTTTTTGCTGTACATCACTTTGGTTGGCCTTGTTTATGTTTTAAATGCTTTAAAAACAAAGTGGTATGGTATCTGAATGAACTGAGCATTTAGAAATTTGATTGGATGACATATTCACGAGTAGTTTATGTCAAAAAGGGATGGAAGAAAACAAAAAGCATGATAAATAAAAAATAATAATGAAGAGAAAGTATGTCAATAGTTTGCATTTCATGCACATTAGATACATTTTCTACAAATCTATGACAGCGTTACTTAAAAGCAAATCTATTTTGGGCTTTGTTTCCACAGACTGTGGAAGTCACACTTTTGTACGTGGTGCGAGAGCCGACCGTTCCCAGTAAATGCTAACAGCGTGTTAAAAGCTTAACAAACACAAAGCTGTGCCTTTATGAGGAGTCGACATCATTTTCTGCTCTTGTTCCCCGCACTCCGGACATCCTCTTCAAACAAACACACAGTGGATGTCTTCTCTAATGAGGCACGTCTTGTTTGAGGAGCGCTGCTTTGCAGAGGCTTCCATTTGCAAGACACTTAATCCGACTGGAATCGTTTATAGTTGTCACTTTCGACGGATTTGATCTTATTGGTCAATTAAAGCGCTGTCGTCAGAGTGATGAAGCAAAAACAAGATCTCGGATGATGGAAACAGAAATTGACATAATACTAAAATGATAACGGTACGTTCTCATTAATTTTATTTAACTAATTATTTTTATTTCAGCTCCATCCAAAATGGTTGCCAGAACAAAGTGATGTTAAATTAGACATTTCTGAAGGTTTTCTTCATTTCAGCTCACATAATACCTAAAGCCTTGCAACCCTGGTAATCTACTTTCATTGTTGCACCAATTATTATTCTTTAGGCTTGATTTGTTGCCTCCCCACAGTCTAAGCACATTTCTGTTGCTATTCTCCAGGATTTTATTCCTTGGTCACGAACCCTATTTCCTAAAAACATGAGGGTTGGAATGTACAAGAGCATCTCAAAAAAATAGAATATCGTGAAAAAAAATTTGAACTTTTTCACAATGTTCTAATCTTTTAAGATGCACCAGTAGATGGGCCAGTAAACCAAGAGTTTCACTTTCCGGTGTAGGTTTTTCCACCACAACATAATAAAGCAGCTAAGTTCAAGCTCAAGAATGTTCATCCATACTAGACAAGACATTGAGACATTAAAATAACGGTACATAAATCATCATTGTTTGTTGAGAAGCCTGATCTCTACAGGAATGAATGAGTTTTTCAGTCTGTTCATCTTACATTTGGGCAGCAGGTACCTGCATCCAGATTGAAGCAACCTGAACTCATCATGGAGGGGATGATCAGGATCTGCCAGAATCAGCCTGGCCTTCTTCACTGACCTCCCCTTGTGTAGGTCAGTGAGGTTCTGTAGAGCTATGCCAGCAGTTTTGCTGCACATCCTGACAATCCCCAAGAGTTTGTTCCTGTTTTTGCATGTCACATGTCCAAATCAACAGATGAAGGCAAACGTTAAGAGACTCAATAAAACATGAATAAAACATTTTTATAAAAGTAGAATCAACATTAAAACCACGGAGCTTCTGATAAAACATTCTCTGGTGGGCC